AAAAAAAAAAAAAAAAAACTCTTGGGTTTATGCAATTCTCCTGCCTCAGCCTCCCAAGTAGCTGGGACTACAGGCTCCCACCACACTGCCCAGCTATTTTTGTTGTTTTTGTTGCAGTTGTCATTGTTGTTTAGCAGGCCTGGGCCGGGCTCAAACCTTGGTGCATATGGCCGGTGCCCTAACTACTGAGCTATAGGGGCCGAGCCCATCAGCTTCTCCTTAACCTCAGGTCTCCCTCCAACCACAGAACATTCTCTTCTCCCCCTCTGCAGCTAGAGTGGGGCCCCTCCCAAGAGTGGTCTAGACTCAGAGTTTGACTCCTTCTACCCACACCTCTCTTGTCTAGTGTCTGTGACTCTGCCAGACCCAGCCAGCATCCATTGTCCTTGCTCAGCAGCAGCACCTAATGGAGTTGATCACTCCCTACTCCTTTATCCTTGTAGGATGTCCCCAGGCATTCAGGTTCCCTTCCAGCCCTCTGCCAGCTCCTCTTCTTCCCTTTGACTTCCAAGTGGGGGGCCCCTCTCCCTCCTTGCCTCTTGGCTTCCTGTGTGAGCTCACCAGGCTCAGACTTCAGTGCCATCTGCTGGCTCACAGCTGTGTATTTCTAGCCAAGAATCCATTCTGAAGTCCTTGCCTCTGTCTCCTACAGACACCTCCAATAACAAATCTTACAGGCCCTAAAAGTGGCTGCCCCTGCGCACTTTCTGGCCCAGGCCCATGTGCCGCAGCCCATCCCTGCCAGTGCTGAGGCCCCTTAATGTCTCCTGAGTCCCTCAAATCTCAGGATCTACAGAGAGTGTCACCCATGCTGGCTCTGGAGCCTATACAGGGAAGGACTGAACAATCCATGTCCCCTCTGTCCCCTATACTTTGTCATTGCCTGCACCCTCAGGGCCAAGCAACTGGGGGTCTGCGGAGCAGCACGCACCTCCTGGCGGTACTTGGTGACATAGAAATAGAGCTCACTGAGTGCACTTAGGACATTGAATTCACTGGCATGGAGGCGGGACTGCTCCACCAAGTAGGCATCCATGTCCTGGTCACTGATCAATGCCATCTTTGCAATGTCTCGGTAGTACCTGTTGGGACCCTGAGTAGGTCATTTGAGCAGATATCACAAAAGCCCAAACTCCTGTTCTCACTGCCAGGCCAGCCTCAGAGAGACGGCCCAGGGAGAGCAGCTCCTGCCCCCATCACCCCCAGCAGGGCGAAGCCCACCTCTCCACCCAGCTCTTGTAGTTGGGGATATCCTTGGCATAGAGCAGCTTGTTGGAGGGTGAGTCCTTGCCCAGGCGGTGCTCAGATGTGGAACAGGAGTCCATGAAGGTCTGGGCCACCACCGACAAGCAGGCGTCTGTGATGCTGTTCTTGTGGATGTCAAACACAAACTGCGGGTTCTTAATCACATTCACCCAGAAGCGCAGGGGCAAGCTGGCCAGAAGGACACATGCCTGAGGCTCCCTAGTCAGCCCTGTGGGGCCCCTCCCACGTGTGCTCCCTGTCATATCTTATTCCTGGCTGGCCAGCTTACATCTTGTCCAGATGTGGCAAGAGTGAAAAGTTTAAGGTTAACAGCCATTTCTCTAAATTTCTGCTAAACTTCTGTCCTCAGCTGGTCTCATCCCCTCTGCAGCTTTTACGGTCACAACTATCACCACTTGCACCAAGGCACCAGCATCTCTACTAGGCGCAAAGTCCTGGAGGGCAAAGAGCCACACCTTACTGCAGGCCTCACTGCCACCATCCTACCTTGGATGCCCAGCAGAGTTCACCTCCATCACCATAAAAGTTGGCTCTAGGCCAGTGTGCCACCCTCTCCTGCCTAACAACTCCAGCCCTGCCATCAGCCTTCCCCTACAGGTCCTGGGTCTTGGCAAAGCCCTCAGCTCCTTCCAGCCCCCCAGCCCCCCACCCCCAGAGGAGGCAGCAGCTCAGAACAGGGTGGTACCAGTTGCTCTTCCAGGTGTGACGCACGTCAGGGTCACTGATCTGGCGCTGGTCAGCCTGTTCATCCAGGAAGTCGAACATGTACTTGATGGCCAGGGGCAGAGCTGAGCCCCGGTGGGCTGTGCTGAACACAGTTTCAAAGAGGTCATCCACAAACTTCTGCAATGTACCCTGTTGGTGGAACGGCCAGAGAGGGTATAGGCTAGGATGGAGCCAAGTCAGGATATCCCCAAAGGTGGGGCAGAAAGGTTTAGCAAAGAGCAGGGCTTCCCTGTAGGGCCAGGACCTCTGAGACAGAGTCAGCCTTGACCTCAGGCTGGGAGTTCCTATAGCAAAGGCCCACTGGATCCAAATAATCCAGTCTCCCCAGCCCCTCCCGAGTAGGCCAGGCCAACCACAGGCCAAGACCAGGCTAGAAGGCATCTGTGCGGAGGCCAAGGTTGCAAGAGGCAGGCCCACACCTTGGTGGCCAGTAGTCGTGTCAGGTAGATCTCTGAGACCATCTTACTGCCACGGTCCCCTTCTCGGTGGTCAACATGGTCATGGTTCTTCACCAGGTGCCACAGCTTGGTGCCTGTCTCCTGGTCAGGTGTGATCATGGGTGCCCGTGAGCGGAGGCTATCAGGGCTGCTAGCTGTGCGGAGCAAGCTCTCTGGAGCAGAGCACAGGTGTGCGCTTAGGCCACTGGAGACACTAGTATCATCCTACCTCTTGCTAGTCTCCACCTTCTCCCAGAAGCCCAGCAGCCTGGGGGAATCCATCTGTACTCGCTGGCCCACCCTATGTCTAGAACTACAGAACTGAAGAACACCCAAGGGCACGGCCTAGGAAGGCTCCTGGAGCTGCCTAGACAGGGGTTCCCCAGGAGGACTTGCACAGCCTCAAAAGGCTACTGTGCTAAGCATACCTACCATAGCGGCTGAGGGAGCGGGTGAAGGTGAAGGAGTTGGCCATGTTATAGGCAGACACTTGTTTGGGCACCAGTGCCACCGAAGAACCATCAGTCACCTGGAGGTCCCAGAGGGGGGGTAGTGCATGAAGTCAAGAAGCCAACAGGCCACCACCCACACAGACCCTTCAGTGTGTACATGGGTGGCACCCGAGGCCCCATGAGTAGAGCTTATGAGTGGAAGAACAAGGGCAGGGAGGAGCCAGGACCACCACTATTCCTGTGCCTTGCTGTGGCTCAGGGCAGAGTCCCAGTTTCCAGATGACCCTGGCAGTGAATGGGCCTTCAGACCCTTACCTGGTAGTGGGCCAGTGAGTTGACCCTCTTCCAGTCACACTCAATCTTGGTAGTGACATCCTCATCCTGGAGGATGATGCGGGCCATGCGACCCTGGCGCCATTCTGTGGGCCACAGACAGTACTTAAGGTTGTGCCTGGTGTCCCCTGAGACCCTGGGCCCAGTCCTCCTAGAGAACAGAGCTCAGGTGGGGTACAGGAAAGCCATGAGAGCCAGCTGAGGTTATACGGCTATAGGCGCTGCAAGCCCCCTGAGAGGGTGTGAGCAGGGGCCTCACCCAGATCCATATCCTCAGCTTTGGGGCGCTGGGAGTATGGGATGCCCTTGTACACGGTATCCAGCAGCTTGTCTTTGGCCTGGGTGATGCTGTCACAGTTGAGAACTTTCACCGGGACCTGAGCACTGCCCTCACTCTCTGGGCACACACAGTATAGGGTCTAAAGGTATAGGGGACCCAAGAGTCAGTGCAGATGAGGCCTCTCCCCACTGCACACCTCTTACCCACAGGATCCACACTCACCAGTGTCTTGTAGTCAATCTGCTGCCGGATAAGCTTGTCCTCACTCAGGGAGTAGCGCGCCTCACCTGTGATAGCATCAATGGGGCCCTTCTCCATCTGCTGCTTGATGGCACAGTATAAGAGGAAGAGCGGCTCTCCCGCACACTCCTGTAGCCAGGGTCAGGCACACAGCTTGCCACCTGCCTGGCCGCCAAGCCAGCTGCTCCTCTGACATCACTTCCCCTGCCACCCAGCCCACCAAGCACACCTTCAGAAACTTATGCAGCAGGAATGTGAACCAGTTGGTAAGCATCTTCTCAGCCACTGACTCTGTCCTAGGGCAGGAGAAGTATGTTGGCCCTGACCTAGGAAGGGCAGGGCCTGGGAAGGAGGCAGGAGTGAGAGGAGCAGGGTGGGGTCAGGTACCTGCGCAAGAGCAACTTTGGGTGGTTCTTGCTCTCAAGGTTTTTCTCTATAAGGTCTGCCAGTAGTTGCTTGAGCAGCCCCGTAGCATAGTCAAGCCGGCTTTGCAGGGCCACCATGGTGAGTGAGGCCACAGTGCCACGGTCACGCATGGAGAAGCTGCTCTGGGCCTCCAACGTGTGGATGAAGGTGAGCACAAAGGCACGGCTGTGCAGCAGCTGCCCAAAAAGGTGCAGGGCCTTCTCGACGTTGGGGGGGGTCTGTGGACAGCAGGGAGTCTCAGGGTGGGGGTGCTGGGGGGTGGGCAGAGCAGAGAAGGGGGCATGGGCAGGCCGAGCAGGGGCTCACATCTAGCTCCTTGAGCACTGGGTGGGCCTCAATGCCAGGGAAGAGCACGCGCACAGCATAGGTCCGGTAGTCCAGGAAAGGGATCTGCACCCCATCCATGTGGTTTGTTAGCTCATTGATGTCAGTCTGCAGCTCTGCGAAGGCTAGGGAGGTGCAGAGAGGAAGAGACAGTTAAGCAGGAGAAGGAGGACCCATGCCCATGGCCCCATAACATCATCTGCCTCAGGCACCTTCCTTGCATTCCAGGGCCACTCGTGACTCCAGGTTGTCCATCTGCAGCTGGAGCCGCTTGAGTGTGCGATCTGCATCCTGAGTCTTGCGCTTGTAGGCAACCAGCACTGCAGTAATGGCCAACAGCAGGAGCCCACCCCCTGTAGCCAGCCCCACCATGGCTGGCAGGGTCAGTGCCCGCTCAGCTGTGATGTGCAGAGTGCCCAGCCAGAACTCCAGGCCACCTACCAGTACCTGCAGGGACAGGCCTGAGGTGAGCTGGCCCTCCTGCCCACCTCAAACCATCCTGGTGGTGTCCCCACCCCCACCCACCATGACAGGCTGCCGGCCAGTCTGGCTGGGTGAGTCGCACAGGAGCTGCGTATCTGAAACGGTGAGTGCACATGGCTGGCCCCCAATCAGCACTGTGTAGTTGAGGCGGGAGCTGCCAGCTGCCGCAGGGATCAGGTTCTTGCCCTGGGAGTGAAGGATAGGCTCAGCCCAGGGTCTCCACCTCCCTGGCCCTCCCTCCACCTGCCCTGCTGCACCTTCAGCACCACGTGGGAGCCAGGTTTGACGTCCAGCACACCAGAGGGGCCAAGCGGCTCAAAGCTGGGGTCAGGGTAGTAGGTGAAAGAGGAGCGGTTGAGGGAGCGCGCTGTCTGCACATGGTCCAGCACGAAGCCAAACTCATCAGGGTGCTCGCCTTGGGCCCGTGGTTGGGGCCGCCCGAGGAAGATCCCGGGGGCCTTACACAGCATGGCAGTGTCATTGATCACCTGGCACGTCTGTGAGGACAAAGGTGGGCAGCCCAGCACATGAGGCCACAGGCAGCAGGGGCAGGGGATGGGCAGCTGATACTCACATTAGTGGTCTCAATGCCACGGTACTTGGCCCGGACTCGAGGCTCCTGAACTGTCAGAAGGTGGGTCCCACTCACAGTGATGGCGGTGCTTCCACTAGGGTCAGGGGTGAGGGACCTCAGGCTTCTTCCCTGATTGTCCCCCATTCAACCCTGGAGATTTATCAAGGCTGCTTTGGGAGCCCAGGGTCTCCCTGACCTGGATCATCCGGTGGGGACCAGGTACCAGGTACTGCAGCCAGGACACCTCTACCCTCCACCGATGAGGGCTTGGCTCAAAGGAGGTAGGAGGTGATGCCCAAGGCCTCAGTCACTGGCCTGACCCCTGCACACCGCCCAGAGTCTTACTTGATGATGCTCCACGTGGGTTCCAGGTGTGTGACTGTGGGGTCTTGAGTGTAAGTATAGATGACTCCAGGGCTAGACACATTGGCACGGTCAATGGCAAGGGTGATGGGGGCCTGGCTGGGGCCCAGAGTGGAGACAGGCGTGATACACACAATTGCCTCAGCATCCCTCCTATGTTGGTAAGCAGGTACTTAGAGGTGGTAGCCCAGGGCCACCAGCCGCCAACCCCCACAAACCCTACCCAGTGCTTAGCCTGAGGCTGGCAGGGCCCTGGCCCACCTCACGAACTGGCACTCGCCATCTCTCACAGTCACTGTGACCCTGCTGCCGGCATCTAGGGAACTGCCAAAGATGGTAAGCCGCGAGCCCCCTGAAGCTGGGCCCCGACTGGGACTCACACGGTCAAACATTGGGCTCTGTGGGAGAAGCAGCCAGCCCTAAGGGGAGGAAGGAGCCAGCACAGGTGGGGCGAAGGGCGAAGAGGGGAAGGGCTATGGCCACATACCACAAAGCTGTAGAGCTGCTCTGACTGCGTGCGGAAGTCAGCAGAACAGTCGCCTATGCAGAGCTCCACAGGCCCCGGTAGTGGGCTGGGCACCAAAGACTCCTCCATCTCACACACAATCCTGAGGATTGAAGGGTGTCAGAGACAGCTGGGTCAGGCAGACACCTGGGCACCCACAAGGCCAGACTCACCTCTCAGCACTGACATACTCAGCTGGGATAGAATTGCAACGCACGCCAGCCACCCGCAGGCCTAGCTCTCGGGAGGCAAGACCCAGGTTCTCTCCCAGAATGGTGACCTGGGTGCCTCCCTCCTTGGGCCCCATGAGAGGGTGGATCTGCAGAAGAGGATGAGAAGCAAGAAGGTCAGTCCAGACTCATGGGTGACCAGCATGTGGTGGGCAGGCAGAAAGAGAAACTCACCTGGGTGATGCGGGGGTGGCTGCACCGGGCACCTTTCTGGCTGGGGTGTATCCAGTTGGTCTTAGGGGCAGGGCAGTGGGCCCGCAGCTGGCACCTGTGCTCTGAGATGCACCAGCCACAGCTGAAGCGGGGGTCAGCCTTGAGGCAGAGGCCACAGTTGGGCCGCTGAGCCCAACACTTGTACAGGAGGGCTGTGGGCACAGGGGTACTGCTGATGGAGGAGGCAGTGGCAGAAAAGTGGGGAGGACAAAGGCCTCCCAACCAGCCCCAGCAGTGCCGATTCAGCCTTGGGGAACAGACTCCCTGGCCCAGCACCACCCCTCACCTCGAAAAGTAGGAGGCTTGTCAATGGGGAAGTCTCCATCCCAGACCACAGAGAAGTCCAGCTCAGTGTCACCATACTCATCGCCTTCATAGGAGTACTGGGGTGAGAGGGACCAATGTAACCCCAGGTAGGACATGCAAAGTTGCCCCTGCCCCATCAAGATTCTTGCCACCACCCCTCCCCCAGGCTCAGAACCCCCAACAGGAGACTCAGAAGGTGCCCTTCCCAAGCTACCTGAGGCTACCAGCCCCCGTCACACCACTGCTGGGTCCCCAGGCCTCACCGAGGCATTCTGGCACTGTATGCTGCTGCTGTTGAAGCGCACAGCAGGCACCCGCTGCTGCCGGCCCCACACCCGCACCACACACTCATAGTTCTTCTGGCCGGATTGCGGCTGAGGTAGGTTCTTAGCCCGTAGGGTGAGAGGTTGCATGACGCCAACGGGGATCAGAAGGTCCCCACTGGGCAAGATCTCAGGGCAGCCCTGTTGGGAAAACACCTGTCAGCTACACACTAGACCACCACCCTTCTCCAGGCCCAGCTGGCCCTTCCCAGCCTCAAGGAGGTTCAAAGAAACTAAGAAGCCAAACAGAAAAGCCAAGGCCAGCCCGCACCACGGAGCCCAGTCCCCTTGCACACGCGGCCCGCCTCACCTCAGGGCTGTGGACCCTGCCCTCCTGGAAGGAGCATTCGTGGGGGTGGCTGGTACACACATGGCGGTACTTACACCAGTGGCAGGGGTAAGGGCTGCCAACACATGACATGCACCTGGGAGGGTGGGACAGCTTCAGAAATAATAGAGGCCAGACTTCCCCTCCCCCAGGACATAGCTCAGGGGATTCACAGCTACGGAGACAGAGGTAAACCCCCAGAAACACAAAGACAGCCAGTCTGCAGGTCTTTTATTTTTTTTTTTATTTTGAGACAAAGTCTTATTTTGTCATCCTCAGTAGAGTGCCATGGCATTTTAGCTCACAGCAACCTCAAACTCAGGTTTAAGTAATTCTCTTGCCTCACCCTCCCAAGTAGCTGGAACTATAGGCTCCTGCCACAATGCCTGGCTATTTTTAGACTCAGGGTCTCACTCTGGCTCAGGCTAGTCTTGAACTCATGAGCTCAGGCAATCCACCCGCCTGGGCCTCCCTAGGACAGGCATGAGCCACCACGCCTCCTCCTGGCCTGCAAATCTTGCTTGTCCCAGAGGCCTCTTCTATTCCTAGGGGTGGGACAGGTACCAAGCCAGGTACTCACGACTGGAGGACACTGCAGTTGTAGAAGACAAAGTCAGCCCCAGCAAACCTCACGCCTGTCTCCTTAGAGAGCAGCTGCAGCTGCACGGTTCGGGTGGACCCTGCAAGAAGCCCAGGGGTGGCCATGCACTATCTGGGGACAGGGGGTGGCTACCACCCCAGCCTAGGCAGTTCCTGCTTACTGACCATGCCCCCTGGTAAGAGCCTGCAGCTCCTGCAGAGATGGTGAAAGGCAGTGCAACTCGCCAGAGGGCAGCAGGACAGCCTCACTCTTCATCACCTCCTCAAAGACACAGCTCACACCCGCACTGAGGTCTGGCACATTGCGCACGGCCACAGTCAGCTGAGGAGGCAGAGGGCTCAGGGCAGGGCATGCCCCAGCACACATGCACAGGCCCCTACACCCTCTGCGCTACTCACCTGCACCCCAGGCGATGTCACTGACACATTGTTGGGCCGAACCCGCACCTGGACACACTTGCTCAGCTCTTCCACAAAGCTGTGTGGGGCAGAAGCACCAGGACAGGCCCCTTCACGGCAGCACCTACATGGAGTCAGTCCAGAGCCGGTCCCATACCTGCCCTGGGAGCACCCAGGGAGTGGATGAAAGTGGGACCCTGGGGGAAGGGAGGGTCCAGGGACACCTCATAGTACCAGGCAACAGCAAGCCTAAGCTATGTCCCCTGGGGTCCAAGGGACGTACGTCACTCACAGTAGAGATTCTGCTCATTAGCAGGAGAAAGTAGAGGAAGAAAGGGAGGCTACAAGGTCAGGGCAGGCATACCAGGTGTTACTGGCTCCTCCCTGGCCATCAAGGCCCTCACCTGTGCTGCAGCACACACCAGCCACAGTGTGGGTCTCCTGATCCCAGGCAGGCCGCACAGCTCAGATACTGCTCGCAGGTCTCCACGGGGAGCTGGCTCACCTGGGAACAGCTACATTAGCACTCAGTCTGCCTCTGCCCCTCCACCCACCGCCACCCACCATGGGCCCACCTGCTTCTCACTCAGCAGGTAGATGTGCCGGTGGTCAGGGCTGAAAAGCAGGTCTCGGAGTATGGGGCTTCCATCCACTACGGGAACTGTCTCATAAAGGTGGGTATCCTGGGAGCCATCAACCCGCACCTGAGCCACAACACCAGTCAGAGGAATGATGGACCAGCCTGATGCCACCATAGCATCAAGACAGGGACTTTCTAGGTGGTAGATGAGCTAAAGTATCCTGGGAACCCACCTGTGGCTGTCATGCCCATAGCCTTAGAGCCAGGAAAAGGGAGTACAAAGGCCAGAAAATGATCCCAGAAAATTTGGAGACAGAGAGGTTAAGGGGGTGGGGAAGGGGTGATAGTTATAGAGGAGGGCAATTTTTAGGGTGATAAAAATGTCCTGAAGGATGGGCACAGTGGCTCTAGCATGTAATCCCTGCATTCTGGGAGGTTGAGGCAGGAGGATCCCTTGAGCTCAGGAGTTTGAGACCAGTCTAAATAAGAGTGAGACCACGTCTCTACTAAAAATAGAAAAATGAGCCAGGCATTGTGGCAGGTGCCTGTAGTCCCAGCTGCTTGGGAGGCTGAGGCAGGAGAATCGTTTGAGCCCAGGCATTTGAGGTTGTTGTGAGCTAGGCTGAGGCCACAGCACTCTAGCCTGAATGACAGAGCAAAACTCCGTCTCAAAAAAACAAAAAATATTAGAGAAAATGTCCTGAAATGAGACATTGGTAATGGCTGCACAACTCTACAAATATCCTAAGAATTACGGAAGTGTACACTATGAGTGGGTGAATTCTGTAGTGTGTGTTTTAGTTCAATGCAGCTATGACAAATGATAAAAGGGTCACAGGAGCAGAGCAGGCTGGGTTTCAGGAGCTCAGCACCTCCCTTCACAAATCCTCCACTGTCTATCCCCAGACTGGGTAAACAAGATAAAACTCCCATAGCTGTCCTGAACCCTGTCTCTTAAGAACGTGTCTGAGGGCTTGGCGCCTACAGCTCAACCGGCTAAGGCGCCAGCCACGTACACCTAAGGTGTCAGGTTTGAATCCCCAGCCCGGACCCGCCAAACAACAATGATGGCTGCAACCAAAAAATAGCCGGGCGTTGTGGCGGGC